TGTGTACAAGAGAGCAGGTATAAATGTAAACATGGATATAAATGAAAGAAATGAATACAAATAAATGGGGGTGGTAGGACAGGGATGGAAGGCATGCTGGCGCGCTTATGCACGCCCCCCTTACAGAGCTCTTAGGAATGGGGTGAGGTCCACGGTAGACAGTTTAAGGTTAAAGTTTTTGGGGTTTGAGGCTGTAACAACAGAGAGCATTCCAGGCGTTGACCACTCTGTTGCTGAAGTCGTATTTTCTGCAATGGAGTCTGGAGCGGTTTACCTTGAATTTGTATCGTTTTGAGTTTACCTTGAGTTTGCATTTTGGTGTCATTCATTGCGGCTCGTTGGAGACAAGGAGAGAAGCAATTCAGGAGAAATTTCCTGAGAGTGAGAACAATTAATCCGTGGAACTGAAGTTGCCTTCAAAAGTTGTGGTTGCTCATTGTCTGGAAAAATGGTAAAAAAAAAAGTAATGTGTTGCAGATGTGAAGCTTGTACAAACAAAATTAAAAGTTGTTTTTTTTTAAAAAATGTGGGCACTCCATCACTGGAAGTTTTTAAGAAGAGACTGGACTGCCATTTATCAGAAACAGTATAGGTTTCCTATGAGAGCAGGGAGCAGGACTAGATGACCTCCAAGGTCCCTTCCAACTCTACTGTTACTGTTACCCTGCTCTCTTCCCCCTTTCTTTTTCCCTTGCCAAGGCATCATTTTCAAACTGGGCCCCTTCTTCATCCCTGTCTGTCCCGCGAGAGGCATTTGCAGAGGGACCCCCCCCCCAAAGTCAAGGTAGCGATTGCAACTATGAGACTGACAACCTGTGATGGATGTTTAGAAGGATTAGGGGCTCAGTTGCATAGCTGCAATCATCCCTGTTAATCAGGGGTGGGTTCCGGATTCTTTTACTGCTGGTTCAGTCAGGGACGCGCTACATGCGCATGCGCAGAAGCAAAAAACAAAAATGGCAGTGCCTAGAACCAGTTCGGGCACATGCATGGCCAAGTTACTACCTATTTGGCCAAACCGGTCCAAAACTGGAGGAACCAACCTCTGCTGTCAATCCTTCACTCCTTCACATCCATATCTCACCTCCTTTTATACCTCCTCCTCCTCCTCCTCCTCCTTCGTCTTCTTCTAAATTACCACACTTTTTTATTCCTTGGGACAACCAGACCTTAACTCCAAGTCCATTTTGTCTAACAACAGCTTATCTTTTCCTCTAATATTTATCAAGACATTTGGCTTATCCGTTTTATCAGTGGTTGATCAATTTGGTTAAGGCGTCAGGTTAGGAAGCCAGGAGACTGTGAGTTCTAGTCCCACCTTGGCAGGAAAGCCGGCTGGGTGACTTTGGGTTGATCAATAGGAGACGGCGTGTTCTAATCACATCTTAGGCACGAAAGTCGGCTGAGTGACTTTCAGCCCGTCATTCTCAATCAGTCCAGCCCACCTCACAGCACTGTTGTGCAGAAATCGGAGATGGAAGGAGAGTTAGGTATGCGTGCCACCTTGAATAACTAATAAAAATAATAAAGGTAGGATTAAACAATCCAAAAGAATAATAATAACATATATTCTCTTTCCAGTTGTTCCTGTTACCGCAATTTTTAAGCAACAGGAACAGGTTCATAATGTCTACTTACTGACTTACATCTTCAGCAATGGCCATAGCTCGTGAGTTCGATCCTAGGTAGAAGTAGATGTAGGGTCTCCTGATTGGGCAGGGGGTTGAACTAGATGACCTGCAATGTACCTTCCAACTCTGTTAATCTGTTAAACTTACAAATCTTTCCACCTTTTGGATTATATACTCCTGACAAACTCTGACCGGCACCAATGAACTAGTATTTCGAGTTCTCTGAATATCTCCTTGATCTTCTGGATGACTGGCACCAGTCAAATCACATGTTCAACTTGTCAATCAAATATAAAAGGAGCATAACCCGCAGGAAGAGCAAGGAATCCTTTGATTTGATTTGATTTCTGTACTCACCCACCCCATCTCAACAAGCAACCCAGGGCAGTGTATGAGAGATCTCTGTCTTGTATGTTTGTGCAGGATGTTGTTTATTCCTTTACATTAAAGTCATGATCTTACAGATGCCTACAAAAATACCAACTACAGGCTGTAGTTCAGGGGTGTCAAACTCAAAGCCTCTGGGCCGCATCCGGCCTGCTCTTAGATCTGGCCCGTGGGGCCACCCTAGAAAAACGAAGGATCGACCCACGGTGCCTCTATCAGAGAAAATGGAGCTCGTGAGGGCCATGTGCACCCGCATCCCCCCCCAGCTCAATTTTTGCTGGCAAAGGGTTGTGGGAGGCCATCGCAACCGAAAATGGAGCTCAGGAGTCCATTTTCACGGCAGAGCGCTTGGGCTACCACAGGAACCCCCCAACATGAGTGAAGGCAAGCTGGCCATGCCCACCTCGCTCCCCTGTCCTGAGGTCAAACACAACCCTGATGCAGCCCTCAATGAAATCGAGTTTGACACCCCTGGTGTACCTGTGTTTCCCCAAAATAAGGCAGGGTCTTATTTTCTTTTGACCCCAGAAATAAGCGCTTGGCCTTATTTTCAGGGAGGTCTTATTATTTTTGAGGTACAGGATCAGAAGTGATATTCAGCAGGTTCTGACCAGGAGAACTGGTAGCGGAAATTTTGAGAAGTTCGGAGAACCGGTAAATACCACCTCTGACTGGCCCTGCCCCCATCTATTCTCTGCCTCCTGAGTCCCAGATGATTGGGAGGAAATGGGGATTTTGCAGTATCCTTCCCCTGGAGTGGGGACGGGATGGAGATTTTACAGTATCCTTCGCCTGCCATGCCCACCCAGCCACGCCCACTAAGCCATGCAATGCCTACCAAGGCACATCCACAGAACCAGTAGTAAAAGATTTTGAATCCCACCACTGTGCAGGAGTTCGGCGAGTGTGGTCACCCTCATGGCTGCTGCTATTTTGCAATATTTTCGGGAGGGCTTATTTTAGCGCATGCACTCAGAAGCCTGAGTGGGCTTATTACCCGGGGAGGTCTTATTTTCAGGGAAATGGTAGTTTGTCAATGTTAAAACTTTAAGATACTTTTAAGCTCAGATTGTGTAACGGGATAATGTCAGCGTTCCAAATAACATTCAAAATTAAATCAGAGTCCAAGGCAAAGTATTGCTCAAAGTTCCAATTTATTCAGAGAGCCCTGTTGGCACATCTGTGAAAACCCGAATCTGAAAGCTTCCCAGGTTTTCCCACCCAGTTGAAAGTTCAAGATCTTGCCCCCGCACCCACAAGTCCATCACATGGT